GGCAACAAAGCCAGACTCTGTCTCAAAAAAAAAAAAAAACAAACTTTGAGACAGCAATGGCATTAACACCTAAAAAAAAGTGTTCATTGCTGGGTGAGGTGGCTTGCGCCTTTAGTCCCAGCTACTCGGGAGGCTGAGGTGGAAAGATAGCTTGAGGCCAGGAGTTTGAGACCAGCTGGGGCAACACAGCAAGACCCTGTCTCTACAAAAAGAAAAAAGTGCTCATAAATGGTAGTCATATAGAACTGGTTCATTTGTCTTTCAGAACTGCTGAACAAAGAGGATGTCCTCATCCAGCCAGGATCTGAACATTCAGTTCATTTGCTCAGTCTATTGCCTTATCAGGAAGATACACAGGAACATCTAGTACTTTGTTCTGACTCTATACTCACCAAACCAGTTTATCTGATTTTAATTTAGCTTCCCATGCACCTAGCCTACAGACCACATGCAGCACATTACCTAAGAACTATATTTCTCATTCTAAATTAATAAACTTGTATCCTAGATTTAGGAGTTTGAGTTAGCACAAGTCAGTCTCCCCACATGTCGGACCACCTCTGGACATTGATAAAAGGTGAAGACCAAATACTGCACCATGACAACCCAACTATGAAACTGTTCCTCAGAGGCCCCTATGCCAGGGAGTGTCCTTCAATGACACCACTAACTGGTATCCCTTAAGTTTCATCAGTTTAACGTTAAGAACCTTATTTTAAACAGTCCATTTAAGAAATCATTTGTTCTAAAATGGTTAAAAACATGATAAAATGATCTGCTCAAATAACTAGTGGAGGTGAATTCTTAAATCATCTATGCAAATGTTTTATATATATAATTGATGGAATACAAATCTCAACTCTGCCCCATTAGGCAAGTTACTTAATGTATCTATATCTCAGTTCTACCATCTGAAAACTAATAATCTTCACTTCATATAACTATTGCAAGGATTACAGAAAATATTGAAATTAAGTACCTGCATAAATGATCAATTAATACTAATTTTGATAAATGGAAAGTATATAATACCCATTTTACTAACTGTACTAAAGTATCTCTATACTTATTGTTGGGTTTTCAGAAACTTAACACACGTATTGAGGAGAGACCACATAAAACTAAGAGCTAATTGCAATTAATAAATGCAGAAAGGGCTGAGCACAGTGGCTCATGCCTGTAATCCCAGCACTTTGGAAGGTCAAGGCAAGAGGATCACTTGAGGCCAGGAGTTCGAGACTAGTTTGAGCAACATAGTGAAGCCCTGTCTCTAAAAAAAACTTAAAACATTTTAAAAAATTAGCCAGGGCCGGGCGCGGTGGCTCACGCCTGTAATCCTAGCACTCTGGGAGGCCAAGGCGGGCGGATCATTCTGAGCTCAGGAGTTCGAGACCAGCCTGAGCAAGAGCGAGACCCCGTCTCTACCAAAAAATGGAAAGAAATTAATTGGGCAGCTAAAAATATATGTAGAAAACATTACCCGGGCATGGTGGCGCGTGCCTGTGGTCCCAGCTACTCGGGAGGCTGAGACAGTAGGATTGCTTGAGCCCAGGAGTTTGAGGTTGCTGTGAGCTAGGCTGATGCCACGGCACTCACCCCAGGCAAGAGAGTGAGACTCTGTCTCAAAAAAAAAAAAAAAAAATTAGCCAGGTATGGTAGCATGTGCCTGTAATCCCAGCTACTTGGGAGGCTGAGGCAGGAGAATTGCTTGAGCCCAGGACTTTGAGGCTGCAGTGAGCTATGACACCACTGCACTCTAGTCCAGGTAATGGAGCAAGACGGATGGACAGGGCCAGGCGAGGTGGCTCACGTCTGTAATTTTAGCACTCTGGGAAGCCGAGGTGGGAGAATCATTTGGGCTCAGGAATTTAAGACCAGCCTGAGCAAGAGCAAGACCCCCGTCTCTACTAAAAATAGCAAAATTAGCCAGGCATGGTGGCACATGCCTATAGTCCCAGCAACTTTGGAGGCTGAGGCAGGAGGATCGCTTGAGCCCAGGAGTTTGAGGTTACAGTGGGTTATGATGATGCCAATGCACTCTAGCCTGGGTGATAGAGCTAGGCCCTGTCTCAAAAAAAAAGAAAAAAAACACACCCTATTGTTGAGCTGTGAATTTCAAATCAAACATCCAAAAATAAAATTAAAAAAAGAAAAGAATTGTCTAACATTAGGGGAGAAGATTAAGCAAGAGGTAGTGTGAAGGCAATAAAATATAGTTTTAATAATGTTAATAAACAGAAAATATATATCAATTTGATAAAGTTAAAAGTATGGACATATCAATATATATTTATAAAAAATCTCAGACACACATATATAAATATTGGAAAAGAAAGTAGAATAATTTAAACTTCTCATTGGGGTGTTTTTCTACAAAATTCTTTAATTATGCAATAAATAGGAGTTTGTAGAAGAATGAAATTGTACATTAAAAACTGCATAGTATTCAGGAAAGTAATTAAAAGATGATGCCCCTTATTCTCCTGGGATTTTATTTTTTTTTTCTTTTTTTTTCCTTTTCTTTTTCTTTTTCCCTGTCCTGGAATAACGCAAGCACCTCCTGGGATTTTAAATAAGCTAGTTTTTCTAATTTTCAAATATTCAGAAGGTGAAGCAATATCCAAAACCAGATCAAATAAGCTCACTAGTTCTGACATTCCCTTCAGAAGAGAAAACTGCAGTTGTTGTTCTCTGTGTAAATTAAAACGTACTTCATATATTTATTACATGTGCTCCACATTAGAGATTCCCAAAGCTGGCTATGTATCCAATCACCTAGGGAACTTTTAAAGAACAAGTTCCTGGGACCCATTTCCTAGAGATTCTAATTTGAGAAGTCTGCAGTGGAAGCCAGAAATCAGTACATATGATATAACATAAAGTTCATGTTAGTGTATTAGGGGAATTCCTACTCTGATTCAGCTAGCTGTTGGGATTGGTCCCATATTTCAGTGCTTTCCATATTCTACTTACTGTGCACAGGAATCACCAGGAAGTGTTACGAAGAGGCAGATTCTGATCCAGAAGGCCTGGGATGATGCCTGGGAATATGTAGTTCCAAGCTCCTAGGTGATGTCCATGCTGCTGGTCCAAAGACCACAATTTGAGTAGTAATACCTTATGAGATCTTTCAACCTTTCCACAGGTGAATGACAGAAGGCAGTCCCCTAGGCAGTTTCTCCCATGGGAATATTTTCTTCATGTTTTACCTAAACATCCTTTAACATAGCTGGAGTATACAATTTGCAAAATACTTATCTTTACTATATACCTTACTACCAAGTGAATGGAAATTATTTCCCTCATTTACAGACTAAATGATATCACTAAAAGATATCACAATGCAGAGACGAAATTAAAATTTACATAATTTTCAATATATATACAATGATGTTCACCAGTCGTGGTTATAATAGTGAAATATTAGAGAAAAACCTATATATCCAACAACAGAGGACTAAGTAAATAATCCATACAAATCTTACGATTAAATATTAAGCATCTATTGAAAATAATTATGCAAATGTACACTTACAGTGAAAAAATTTTCAATATAAGTGAAAATAAAGATTACAAAACCTTATAGAATGACATATATATACTTAGCAGAAAGATAGATATACTAAAATTTTTAAAGCATTGTGCTCAAAGTGGTAGAAAGGTGATTTTGATGCTTGCTTGCCAGTATTATCTAAAATTTCTACTATAACACATACCTTACAAAATTCTTAAAGGGTAAAAAGGAGGTGAGAAGAAAACCAAATAAATCTCACACAGGCATATACCTTTCAGGGACCACTTGAATGGCTTGAGTGACAGGTAAAACTTGTTTTCCAAAGAGTAGTTAAGGGATTTCCTAAGTTAGAAGCACTTAGAAAGTTTATTACAATTTCAGTCCTGCACCCCAATCCAGATCTACTGAATCAAAAATCTGTGGCAATAGGCTCCACAATCCACATATGAAGCAAATACTGACGCTTGTAGACAGCAAAGTTTGGAAACCATGGCATTAAACAAAAAGCTTCCTAGAAATGCAGGGACCTGGAGTAAATTCCAACCTCTCTGTATGGCAACCTACAGCACATTCAGAACAGGTGAAATCATGGTATTCTGTACATACAATCCCACACTCATAAAGACCACTGGAATTTGAACAACCACCAAAAAAACCTCTACTTAGTGATTGGCTTTATTCAATCTTAATTTTAAGCATCCCATGTGAACACTAACCATTTCCCATGAGCTGATTGAGGCCACAAGGGTTTTTCTTATACCTGAACTACCTTCGTCTGAAACTATTCTCATTATAACCTCTTCTATGATATTCTGTCCCCAGTTAGTCATTCATTAGTTAAAAGTACCAGACAAACATTTATTATGGAACCAAATATCTAGGTAATTCATTCTCCTGTTGCCTTCATTTCGCATTTCTAAACATATTCCAGTTGACTAAGCTCAGTAGATTCTGGTGATTATTTCTTCCAGAGATCCTCTCTGAGGTAAACTCAAAGGCATGATGAGTTTATATCAACAGAGGCCCTCAAAGAATCAAGAAAAATCTTTCCTGTTCTGAAATACACCATATGAACCCCCAAAATTTTGTTGAAAGAGAAAAAGTATATATCACACTAAATATATTCCTATATCCCACTCTCAAGTATTTAGTATAACAGTCAACTCATAAGGCACTATTTAAGAAAAGTTTTCAAAAGGAGACATTAAGAATTCCAGAAATTTCCTAAAGCTAATAAATCAGAGAATTTTCCCCCAAAAAAGTCATGATAGATTTTTTCCCCCTTTAAAACTGAGGGGAAAACAACCAGAGAAAAAAAAGTTTGTCATAAGCTCCTAAGAGAATCTAAGAAAGGAGCATAATTTCTGGAAGGTGGGGGACAAGCCCTTCATTTTATTTTAATCCATGATACATTTTAATCTTGGATCACTCAGAAGGTCAGGCCAGCTAAGAATGGAATTTATTAAAACCAAGATTATATACCCACCTGCAGTTCACACCAAGCAACCTCAACCCATGTTTCAGTGTCCAGTCCTTTATATACTGTTTTAAATGCTCCTCTTCCCAGCTCTATGTCAAATTTCAGGAACCTGCCACTAGGAGAAGTAGCTACAGCCTTCATTTCTGCTTCTTCTTCCATTTCCTTTTCATTTTTCTCCTTGAAACAATCTTTTGAAGTTTCCAAAGTTGCCTTTGAACATTGTTCATATTTAACTTCTTGTCCACCTCTTAGCACATTTGTAGGAAGTTTATCTGCTCTTGGAATATTCGTTGCAGCCTTTATTCTCTCATCTTTGGAGGAAGATTCGGCAACTTTATCATCTTCCGTCATCTCAACACTCTTTCGGAAAAATCTCTTCCTTTCTACGGTTTCTCCAGAAGCAGAGGGGGTACTGTTTTTTTCCTTTAGCCTAGCTTCTACTGTCAAAGTTGCAACAACTTGAGGAACTCTGCTGTCGAATGAAACTCTATCAGGTTTCTCAGAATCTTCTGTGCTGGCTGGCTCCCCTGAATCAGTGGCCATTGTAATTAAAGTTGGCACTAAAATTTTTCCTGTTCCACTCTTCAATCCAGTTACATCTCAGGTATCAGAATTAGCAGAATGGACTTCCTTTTATGTGGTCATATATTTCCATAGCAACCTGAAGAGGGGGGAAAGGATACTTTAAAATCACCCCACAAAGGAAATCATTAAGGAGAAAACAAGTCACCTGATTTTTAATCCCTTTTTTCTTAATAAGAAGTTTATTCTTTTTTCTGTTCAATCTTAGCAACAAGCAGACTCCAGGGATTGTGTCTTATCTTGTTTACCACTGTAGCCATCGGTACCTAGCAGACTACTTGGTGTATAGCTTAATCTGTCTTCATATGGCAAGAATACTGGTTAGGAACCTAGTTCTCAGCCCAATCTATCAATCCATCAAATTCAAAACAGCCCAAACCCTGAGTTCACTTAGCTACAAGGTGACATACACAATAAGTTAAACAATCATGCCCATCTCTATTAATATGGGGACATGAAAAAGAAAAGAAAAAAAAAACACATGATTTCTACGTGGTTTTTGTTTAAAATTCTAGAATTCATCCAATAGCAGTTTCTTCTACTGTTGTAAAATATACAAAACATCAAATTTACCATTTTAATCATTTTTAGGTGTGTAATTCACTAGCAATAAGTATATTCACATTGTTGTGCAATCATCACTACTATCCATTCCCAGAACTTTTTCATCATCCCAAACTGAAACTCTGTACCCATTAAACAATAATTCCCTGTCGATTCCCACCCACCTCTGGTAACCTCTATTCTACTTTCTATATTTATGAATTTGCTTATGCTAGGTACTTCATGTAAGTGGAATCAGACAACATTTGCCCTTTTGTGTCTGGCTTACTCAACTTAGTATAATGTTTTCAAGGTTCATAGATGTTGTAGCATGAACCAGAATTTCATTCCTTTTTAAGGCTGAACAATATTCCATTGTATGTATATATGACATTTTGCTCATCCATTCTTCTGTCAATGGATTGGATTGTTTCTATCTTCTATTATGAATATGCTGTTATGAACATCTAATATTACTTTTAAATAGTACAAATACTTGTTTATGAGCTTGCCATCAGATTTTAACAAAAACTACTATCAAATATTAATATACTATCCTAAAAGAATAGCAAGATAGACTTAGAAGCATGCATCCTTTTAAGCCAGCAATTCCACTTATAGTAACTTGCCTTAGAAAATAGTCGAGAATCTACACAAAGATTTAACTATAAAGGCATTCATTACAGCACTTGTAATTTGGAAAAACTTAACTAAACATAAACCTAATAGGGGTTTCATTAAATAGCTCAGGCCTGGTGCGGTGGCTCGCGCCTGTAATCCTAGCACTCAGGGAGGCACAGGCGGGAGGATTGCTTGAGCCCAGGAGTTTGAGGTTGCTGTGAGCTGGGCTGACGCCACGGCACTCTACCCCAGGCAACAGAGCGAGACTCTGTCTCAACAAAAAAAATTAAATATCTCAAAATGAGGTATGATATAGCATTAAAAATAACACTGCAGTTTTCAGTGAGATGAAAAGATGTTCCCTGTATATTATATGGTTATGTATACACGAGCTTCCATACACACAAATGATATTAACTCTGAATATACACATACACACAAATTAACTTCAAACTGTAGAATTATGGATTTTTTTCTGCTTGTGTTTTCTAAAACTTTCCACAATGAACATGTAAAAATGCAAAACATAATAAGGACAAAAGTTTCTCAAATGAATGGTCAAATCACCAATAAGAAAATTCTTCCCTTTCTACCACAATCATGTATTACAAAGCTAAGCCTGTATACCTGTTACTATGTTATGTGCCTTGGAGGGCACAATTTGTCACAAAGATTTGTTAAGAATTATGTCAAATCAAAAATACACAGAAATATCAAATTTGAAAAACTGAAGGAAAAAAACCTAAACTAAAGCAAACGAAATAGAAAGAAACACCCCTAATCATTCCACACATTCAACTCAATTCGTATCAAAATTCCAGCTGGTTTCTCTGCAGAAAATACCAAGCTAATCCTACAATGCATACAGAACTTCAAGGGACCCATAATAACTGAAGCCAAAATAATCTTGAAAAAGAACAAATTTGGAAGACTCATACTTTCTGATTTAAAAACCTACTACAAAGCTACAGTATTAAGACATTATAGTACTCATACATATCGATGTATATATAAACGGAATAGAGTCCAGAAATAAATCCACATATTTATGGTCAATTGAGCTTCAACAAGTGTGCCAAGACAATTCAATGGGGAAAGAATAGTCTTTCCGACAAATGGTGCTGGGACAACTGGTTAGCCACATGCAAAAGAACAAAGTCAGACTCTCTAGTAAGGTTTCATGGAAAAGATACCTGAGCTGAGTTTCGAAGAAAGAAAATTAGCTCATCTAGGCAGAGGGAAGATCATAAGCAAAGGCATGAAATAGCATGGAGTAAGTATATGAGTGTTACCATGAGCAGTTTACATGTATATCAGAAGCAGGTAGATGAGGACAGAGAGGCAAAGAGTCACCTAGGACTTCTATGCATACAATGCAAAACAGGAGACCAACTAAAAAGCTACTGCAATAATTCAGAAAAGAGATGATGAGGTTTGAATGAAAATCGTGGCAGGAAGGATAGATTCGAGATATACTGATCCTTCTGTATTTCGTAAACATGATGACTGGGTGTTCACACATGTGTGAGATGTGTCTCCCTCAAATCTTGTTACGATGTTGGCACATTACCCATCTGACATGAAAAAAAAAAAGGAAGAAAGAAAGATACATTAAGGTAGTATTAAATGATGCAAATTTTACTGCCTGAATGGATACGTCTGTGAGGGAAAAGGAAGAGTCTTATAACAACTCCCAGAAACTTGCCAACCAGATGATGCTCCTGGGACATATCTGTGTTAATACCAGAGCTAAGAATGAACTAAGGGCTCATGAAGTGCTCTATGAGGTTCCATTGCCAAATCGGTATACTTTTAAAGTCACTTAATAAATAAGACTAGTATTATCTGCAAGTAAAAAAAGATAACTAGTAAAGCTTCACTTAGGTGGAATTTTTTTTAACTTTTTATTTTGAAATAACTTTGGACTTGGGAAAAAACCTACAAGAGTATATACAAAGAATCCAGTATACTGTTCACCCATATTCCCCAAATGTTAACATTTTAGGTGGGATATTAAACCTCAAGAGCAGAAATCCAGAAGACAGAAGGATTTATACAGCCAAAAATATGTCAAGTCAGAAAATTTCAATTGGAAAAGCCTTCAAAAAAAATTTTTTTGGCCGGGCGCGGTGGCTCACGCCTCTAATCCTAGCTCTCTGAGAGGCAGAGGCGGGAGGATCGTTTGAGCTCAGGAGTTCGAAATCAGCCTGAGCAAGAGCGAGACCCGGTCTCTACTAAAATTAGAAAGAAATTAATTGGACAACAAAAATATATAGAAAAAATTAGCCGGGCATGGTGGCGCATGCCTGTAGTCCCAGCTACTTGGGAGGCTGAGGCAGGAGGATCGCTTGAGCCCAGGAGTTTGAGGTTGCTGTGAGCTAGGCTGACGCCACGGCACTCTAGCCCAGGCAACACAGTGAGACTCTGTCTCAAAAAAAAAAAAAATTTTTTTTGCAGAACCTCTTTTAAAAAATGAAATCTTAGAGCCCTAATATAAAAAAGACACCTGGTTTCTCAAGCTATAGGGTAAGAAGCAAATAAGAGGAATGGGAAAAGGAATCTTTCCTTAGTCTTTTAAAAACCAGTACTTAATGATAAAAATGTAACTAGAGACAAAGAGGGGCATTTCATAAGAATGAAAGGGTTAATTCATCAAGACAATATAACAATTATAAACATATACACATCCAACAGTAGAGACCCAAAATACATTAAATAAAAACTGACAAAACTGAAGAGAGAAATAGACAATTCAATAATAACAGCAGAAGATTTCAATGCCCCACTCTCAATAATGGAGAGAACTAGACAGAAAACCAACAAGTATATGGAAAACTTGGACAATACTATCAATTAACTTGACCTAAGCAACATCTAGAACACTCCAACCAATGAAAGCAAAATATACATTCTTTACAAGCACATGGGGAACAGTCTCTCTGGAAAAGATCATACTCTGTGTAATAAAACAAATCTCAATCAATTTAAAAGGACTCAAATCATACAAATTATGCTCACCTATCACAAAAGAATTAAATTAGAAATGAACAACAGACTAAGGATAGACATATAGATCAATGGAATAGAAATGACAGTCTAGAAGTAAGCCCTAACATTCATGGTCAATTGATTTTCAACAAAGAGGCCAAGACCATTCAATGGGGAAAGAGCAGTCTTTTCAACAAAAAGTGCTGGAACAACTGGAATCCATAGGCAAAAGAATAAAATTGGACCCCTACTTCACACCACACACAGAAATTAACTCAAAGTAGATCACAGACCCAAATTTAAGAGCTAAAAATATAAAACTTTTAAAAGAAAACATTGGAGTAAATCTCAGTAACCTTGGGTTAGGCAATAATTTCCCAGATACAACAACAAAAACACAAGCAATAAAGGAAAACACTGAAAAGCTGCCCCAATCAAAATTTTAGACTTTTGAGCTTCAAAAGATACCATCAAGAAAGTGAAAAAACAACCCATAGGCTGGAGGAAAATATGTACAAATCATATACCTGATAAGGGACTGGTATCAAGAATATATAAAGAACTCAATAATGAAAAGACAAATAATCCAATTTAAAAATGGGCAAAAGATCCGAATAGATATTTCTCTAAAGGAGATATATAAATGGCCAATCAACACATAAAAGATGTCCCACATCATTACTCATTATGGCAATGCAAATCAAAACCACAATGAAATAACACTTCATATCCATCAGGATGGCTACAATAAAAAAAACAGTAACAAGCACTGGGAAGCATGTAGAGAAAACAGAACCCTCATACATTGCTGGTATCTAAAATGGTGCAGCTGCTTCAGAACACAATCTGGCAGTTCCTCAACAAGTTAAACAGAGTTACCATATGATACCATCTACCCAAGAGAAATGAAAACATATGTCCACACAA